GTTTGTTTCTTTCTCTTTGAATAGAATTGTTTTCTTCGACTCTTTTTGTTAACTGTTTCATCGTTTTTATTCGTTTCTCCTCAACTGCAACCAATTTTTTTCTCACTGTAAATCCTTTGAATCTCGCCTTTTTTGGCCACTTTTTGATGGAGTACAACGTCCGGAAACTGAATCTGACATTTCTGCTGAAATCGGCCTATCTAAATATTAATTTTCTAACGTGCAATTAGAATGTACTATATACTATTATTGATAACGATATCTAAAATGAATCAGTAGCAATCGGATTAGACAATGGCGAAAATCTTGCATTCGAATGTGAACATGGAGTAAAAGGAGTACAGTTCATTGAGAGACTACTTGGAGAAGGTGTGGATCGGCTAAAATTTGTTGAAATGCTACTTGATCTTGACACAGTTGTAAATGTCTAATCTGTGACTTGACTAAACGATATTGTCGAACTGAAGTTTATGGAAAAAAATTTCCGCTCAATAGCATGACATCCGCTCCCGCAATATGTTGAGGGAATGATGCGGAAAGTACGCCATTCAGCAGATAGTTCCATAGCGCTCTTTACTGCTAAATGCACCCATTGATAATAAGTGATTTGATAATGGACGATAATTTATGATATAAGTTTATGTATACACAATCAAAATAAGTATAATAAATGGACAGTATAAGAATATTCACGTAGCAATTTTACGTTCAGTCAGTGCAGTAATTTTGTCATAATGATATCTATGCAATTTGTTAAATTGTTTTTATATTGCGATTCAAAGTTAAATTCAAAGTCAAGTTAAATCTTTGGAAATGATTATCAATCTGCTTAATGTTGTTAGACTTTTATTAGCATCTAAGTTTAATATATCTAACAGAAAACATCAGTAATTAAACGAAAACTTTGATAGTTCTTATAAAAAACGAGCTGCTAAGTATTGGCGGAATTAGGACATTAATGAAAAAAATAAGAATAAAAGGCAGAGCCAAATCGTCCGCTAAACTCAGTGCAAATAAATTTAGAAGAGTTTCATCTGAACGTCAATTAAGACGGTGGGTAAAACAATTACATTTAGATGGAAATTGTATAGAAAAATTATCTTATATCTCCAAATTTACACATGATAAAATTACTTCAGTTGTTGAATCAGGATTCATAATTCATGATATCGATGTAGAAAGGTGGGCTTTACAAGTTTAAAAAGAAATAGGAAATTTAAATTAAAATTTAATTTAATTCTATATTTAAATCTCATAGCTGGGTATCAACATTCAATAAGTCCCGCTGATTATTTCGAAAAAAATTACGCAATTTGTAATTAGAAGAACAATAGAAAATTCCGTTGAGTTGCAAAATACAGCTAATAATTTCCTGAAAACAGTGACCATTTATCAAACAGTTCGGATTTGAAAAGGTTTTTAATTCTGATCAAAATGGTGTCCGATTGAAAATTCATTCTGGAAGGTCATTGTCTAATGAAGGAGTAAAGAAAGTAGAGTGTGTTGTGCAATCTATATCATCACAACACACTCATATACCATACAACCAATAATATCATGTAATGGAAATTTGCTGTTACCTTTATGTATTGTATTAAAAGAAACTAACGGTATATGTATTTACACCAAGAGTACAAGAAACCTTATTTACACCAATAAATGTTATTGTAGAAACATTGAAATCTAGTAAAATGACTTCAGGTAATTAAATAAATTTCCTTTTACAATATATTTTCAGATACTGTTTTACTATTAAAAAATAAATATAAATTTGCATAAATAATATAATGAAATTATAAGTTTTATTTCTGTGATATATTTTATATTTTATTTAAGAATCTCATAACAATCGTAAAATAGTTATTAATTTAACATTTATATTTTTTATAGATCATTTTAAAATGTGGTTAGAAGAAGCTTATTTTCCAAACATTAGTTCTAATAGCATTCTTCTTATCGATTCATGGAATGGACGTGCCAATATTATTTCAGATTTAACACCTGCAGGAAAATATATTACTACTAAGATTATACCGAAAGGTACTACAGGAAAAATACAACCATTGTCCAATTTATGCGATATCACAACTTATTTAAATATTTATGGTTTAAAAGTGATTATACAAAGGAAAAACCAGAAGAATTTGAAAACCCAGTAGAATTTAGTTTTGACAAAAGTTCAACAACATATTATATCAAAGGTTGCAGTAATATAGCTGTAGTAAAATATTCATGATGCAAGAAGTCATTATGTAAAACATTTTTTCATCGAGTATCATCGTTGTAGTGAGTATAATGAGTAACCGATACAAAATATAAATTTATTGATATATTAGATTGTTCGGAAAGTAATTTCGTTTTTTCTTATGAAAATGAAAGACGATTTTCAAACAGACGCGTTTCAAATGATCATGAACGATCGAATTCGATAAATTTAATCTCTCAGCGATCTCACGAGTTGTTATTCGCCGGTTTGGTTCAATTAATGCCTTTATTGTGTCTTCATCAGCTTCAACTGGCCTTCCAGAACGTGGTGCATCTTCAACATCAAAATTGCCGAATCGAAATTTTGCAAATCAGTTTTGGCACTGGCGTTCTGTCAATACATCTTCTCCATACACATCAGATAATTTTTTTCTTGCTTGAACAGCATTTTTACCTTTTCGATAGTAAAAAAGTAAAATATGCCGAAAATGCTGCTTTTCACTTTCATATTTGATAGGGCACCAACCAAAAACTACTGCGTAGAATCAATCGAACTTTTTTCACAAGCAAGCCTTGCTATATCAGCTGTCAAAATATATAATGATTATGCGGCTTAAGTGTGAAGTTGACTGTGAAAAAATACAATAAGTCCTCTGTTGGGAAAAAACGAAATTACTTTCCGAACAACCTAATATTATATCAATAAATATATTTATATATATTTACTAATAAATATTATATCAATAATATATCAATAAGTATATATAAATATATATTATAAATATTTAGAAATTATTTCATTATTAAGTATAATATATACGTTTTGAAATTAGTACATAAACGACATGTAAATAAAATATTAAAGCATAAAACTAAAAATAACTTTATGAAAATAATGTTAAGATAATGTGGTTATAAGGAAGGAATAAATAAGATTATAAGGAAGTAATGTACAGAGATAAATAAAAAAGTTTTACTCACATTAAGAAGATATAATAAAAATTATTATTACTCTTAACATTACTTATAATTTGTAATGTTACAAATATCAATTATGTCAATTTCTTTATTCGTTGATTTATGTAAAAAAAGAAATAATAACAGGGTTAATATGTGTGCGTGCATGCATACGTGCGTGCGTACGTGCGTGCGTGCGTAGGGGGAGGGGGGAGAGAGTATAATCCACGTGGATTGCATAAAGTCAAAATCGATGTGAATTTATCCATGTGAATTCCACATTACTATTTCCTATTTTTATTCCCGTTAAATTTCATTAGTAATTCTACATGGATTATATGTACTGAAATCTATATGAAAGTATCTACATAAAATCCACGTTGAAATTTAGAGGAAAATTTATTTCAATTTGGCAATGAAAAATGTCAATGTTGCATTCACGTGGATATTATGTGAATAAATTTTTAATCCATGTAGTCCACGTAAAACATGTGAATTCTACGTGGATTCCACATATAATATATGTTCTCACTGAGTTAAGATCAGGTGGACAATGAACGCATGCGTGCATTTTATCTTTAACTTTGCGCATGTATCTTGCTTCTACGACGAGTTGGGATGGTTGCCCTCGGATGACAAAAGGGACTATTTAACAGGCTGTATATCTCAATTCTAAACACAGGTACTCCATTATATCTTGCTGATGGGCTGAGATTCTGCTCGAAGCCTCGTGCGACAACTCGTATCTCTCGATTTTGTGGTACCGAACTGCAGATCATCAGCTTATCAGCACTCTTTTGCATACGTAGCCTCTTCACTCTGGAATTCTCTATCCAGAGTGATTAGGGAAACCGAGTCACTTACTTTTTTTCGCCATGCTTTCTTCTGTCATTTGAGACGCTGTGTCGTGTGAGGATTCGATATGGTTGATCAGGTACTCTAGCTTCTTTCTCTTTTTTTTTCTTTTATTTTTTCCATATTATTATTTTTATTATTATTCTTTGTTATTATTATTATTATTATTTTTTTTTATTATTACTGCTATTATTATAATTATTATGTACTCTTTTATTTTATGTTATAGTTTATAATCATTATTTTCATTGTTATAACTATTATTGCAAACTATATTGTTGTACAATTCTGAGAGGGTTTACCCTAGACCTGAAATAAATATGCTCAATTAATTAATCAGTCAATTAATCAATTAATCAATCTCTCTCTCTCTCTCTCTTTCTCTTCCCCCCCCCATCTCTTCCTCCTACTTCCCATTTCTTTCCCTTTCTCTCTCCCCCTCCTTCCCTCTTCCTCCTTCTCTCACTCCTTCCCCCCTTTCTCTCATCCTCACTCTTTTGCTCTTACATTATATGCATCTTGTGTGTATAGAGAAAGATATTGAGAGATCCGAAATCCGAATTTTTCAAACAATAAAGCCATTTTTGTATTCGCTTTTAAGATCGATACATTTTTGCATACGCTCGAACCAATTTTCGAAGCATTTTTTTTCATTCTAAGGTTGTAACAGAAATCAGTGTACGAAATGTTTCAACAGCTGTTTCAGGCGACTCAAGTCGCTCACCACGCATCTTATTTTTAATGTTTGGGAACAAAAAGAAATCATTAAGTGATAAATCAGGTGAATACGGACAATGAGTCATCAATTCGACATTATTACTGGATAAAAAAATCAACGATTTGACGTGCTGTGTAACAGCTGGCGTTATCATGATGAAGGATGATGCGACGATTTCGGTTTGATCTACGCAATTCATTTATGACTTCTGACAAACAAATTGTTGTATACCAATCAGTATTTACAGTCCTTCGATCCTCTAAAGCCACGGTTGTCACATGTCCGGTATAACCGAAGAAACAAGCAATCATTTGCTTGGCAGCACTGCATGAACGAATAACTTTTGTTGGTTTCGGTTCATTTTGAAATACCCAAACAGTGGATTGTTGTTTACTTTCGGGCTCATACGAATAGATCCATGGTTCGTCCCCAATAACGATGTTGTAGACCAAATTTGACCGACCTCGGTTGAATTTAACACAAGCCTGTTTTTGAGCTTCGGTCAAATTGTGTGGGATCCAACGACTGCAAAGTTTCCGTACGCTCAAGTGATCATGCAAAATCGTATGTATTGCTTTCATGTCAATGCCTAAGGATGCCTGAATCTCGCGATATGTTATATGTCGGTCTCGCTCAATCATTTCACGTACAACATCAACATTAGTGGCAACAACAGACGTGGATGGATAACCTTCACGGAATTCATCACTAAGAAAGGTACGTCCACGCTGGAATTCGGCAAACCAATTATAAACAGTCCTATTGGATGGTGCTTCATCCCCAAAAGCCAAATGAAGTCGATCGATGCATTGTTTCGGAGTTAGATTACATTTGTAATCGTAAAAAATCATTGCCCGAAAATTTTCACGCGAAATTTCCATTTTCTTACAAAATAACTTCTTTTAAAATACTATGCAAACAACACTAGTTGGCTTGGGTACAAACTCAATTGAATTATAAGTTAAAAATGTCTAATTTTACGGATATGATAGTAGCAAAACGTTGGCGCTACTGAAAGTACTTGCAGATACTTTTCCAGCAGTTTACGTATCAAGCACGTTTAAATGATAATATTGTCGATATGCTAAGATTGCTAAGTTCTGCTGCAAACTTGAGAAACCTTAGACATAGTTGTATTTTTATGTATTATGTATTTATATATAATACACATACATATTATTTATGTATTATGAATGTAATATTAAATTCTTTTTTATACCGATATACGCGTTGATTCTGATCACATCGTGGCATTATGGTCTAATCAATGTCAAGCTAGCTCGATTCCGATTGGATCGCAATGTTTGCGATGCGACTAATGTAGAATCAGCATTATATTGGGTGGTTCGGAAAGTCCGTGCGGATTTTACAATGAAAAATTGTATATACGATACCTTCGTCAAAAATGAACGAAATTTAAATTTAAAAAAAGGGTTTTAAAGCTTGAAATCTCTACTTTTAAAAGCTTATCACATTTTTTAAGTTTATATGAGTTTGATAATTTTTACATACCAAAAACTACGAGCTGAAAAAGATAAAAAATTTTCTTTTCACTTTGGGGGTCTCTCACGTGCCCAAAAAAAATTTACGAAAATTTTCGACTACCCATCGTGAAAACTTAAAGCTTTCCGTACAAAATCATTTTTTAAAAATGTTCCTATAATTTTTTGTTTCTGAGTTATTCGCGAGTTAAGTAAAGAAGCATTCTGATTTCGATTGCTCATAACTCCGATAAAAATCATCATATCGCAATTTAAAAAACAGATTCTTAAAGCTGACACTTTGCTCTATTGAATGATATAATCGTAACGAAAATTTCGCAACAAATAAAAAACTTTTGAAAAATCAATGAAAAAATCCGCACGGACTTTCCGGATCACCCAATACTTAGGTTACGTCAGAGTCTCAAAAATCTTAATTTCACGGGAATTAGAAGGTAAGTGAAAAGGGCTTGGACATTTCAGATCAAGGCGGTGGCAGAAATCGATGCCTCATCGCGTATCACAAATGCACTCGGGTTAAATTTCAAAACGGAAATCTACGACAACGACTCTGCTTGAAACAGTGTGCCCGTCAGTCTGGTTTTAGGTCAAGGAAATTCTTTATGATCTGGGATAGGACGGTATGACTTTATAAGAGGAGGAATGCGATTAAGATGAATTTGAATGAATTCATACAATTAATCTTACATAAATTTAAATTTCATAAATTCTAATTGTATTAAACATAATTTAAATTTCTTAAAACTAAACCCTAAGTTTAATTAAATATTATCTAAATTAATATAAAATGTTAATGTTGTGTTGGTTCCGTAGGTGATTTTAAATTATTTTGGAGGTTACTGAATAGAATCTTGGGAAGTGTAGTTATAATCTTGACTTATCTCCTTTTCATAATTTACACAATTTCTTTTAATTTATTTGAAGAAATCCAAATGTTTTATGTACATAGATTGTAAACATTGTGTTTGAAGCCTCAGGAGAGGAAGAGGCTAACTCAGAGTGTAAAAAGTGGATCGGAACAATGAAAGGCTCGTGGGTTTTGGGATTTAAGTTTATTATTCTTTGATTAGGGGAGTATCTGGAAAGATAGGCTCTAAACATCAAAAACTCTTCCGCTTTGGAAAAATTAGAAAGTTGGAAATTTGGAGGAAACAATTCTTCTAGATCCTTCGAATTTGAAAGATTAGGATGAAAGATATAAATTGGTTTATTTGTTGGAGCGAGAAATAAATGATATTATTTTCGGGAAGTTTGAAGATAAGTGACTGAGTGGATTGATTTATGTGAGAAGAATGGTCACTTTAGGAAGTTTAGGGGAAGTTGACGGAGGGGGTATTGACAGGTGAAATTCGGATTTGAGTTGAGCTTTTTCTTTAATAAGAAAAGGAGACGAGCTTAATTCTAAACGAAAAGTGGAAGTGGTCGGAGTCAGAGAAATTCTTGAATTCATTTTCGATTTATTCTTTTACTTGTCTAATAACTTGTAATAAATTGAATCTATTTTTTGAGCCTCCGGCTGAACGATTGCGACGTCGCGTTTTTTGGCGTCGCGTTTATTGACGTCTAGTCCTTGTCCGTCTATTTTTCGAAACTCTACTCAACTTTCGGGAGCGCACTGGAATTTTAAATTTTTCTTCAAATAAATTATTTAATAAGTTGGGTTTCTTTAAACTTATTTTTGGTGACTTGTAGTCTTTTTAATCTGCAGCCTTTTTAATCCAAGATTTGAACAGAAAAGTTGTCCTTTGGTCACAGGAGAAACCGCCATCGGCAATCACTCACAAAAATAGATTTGCGCTCTCAAAACGGATTCTCAAATTAATCAACTACTGATTAAATGTTCTTCGAGCTTCCGCTCGGATCTTACGCTGTGTACTTCGGCACACCTTAATTTATACTGTGAGTTTCTTTGTCTTTGATGGGAATGATCAGATGGAGGGGAAAAATATGGGAATCAATTGTTTCTAGGTGTCGTATAGACTGATTCTATTGTTAGCTCGAAAATACTTCTTTGCCGATCTCACTTGCGATATCTGATCAATTTATTAGGTATCATCCTTTGACTTCTATTATTAATCTTTCTACGTTTAACATTACAATCCTTTATTATAACAAGATTGAAATTCCTTCCCAATTAATTCTTATAAGTGTTTCGTATAAGTGTTCCCGGCTTGATGATAACATTTTCATGAAAAAAAAAAGAAACATGAAGTCCTCCGGACGTAACACTTAATTTATTCCTAATTTGTTATCGTGTAATTAAAGCTATTAAGGCTCAATTTCACAATTCACGGTTAACTTTCAATCGAGGTTTAATTTATTCCTCTCTTTCCAATTTTAAAAATTAGAAAGGGATGAGAAATAAGTTAAATCTCGGTTAAGAGTTAACCGTGAATTATGGAAATAGTTCTAAGATGGAATAGATTGAAATAGAAAAATATTCATTTTTTGATACATGCATTTATTTATCAAAATACAAACATACATGACTACTGGAATATGTATAACTATTGGTTAATTATTGTTTAATTATTAGTAACAGGGGCGGCATCTGCAATAAAAGCAAGAATATGTAGCATACTAAAGCTGGCGCCCCATGAACATTTTTCTAGTCTATCTCGAATCTCTATCTCAAATTGAAAATTTTAACTATGGTTTTAATTAACTATACTTACGTTTTTAGTATTTAATATGTACATTGATCATTCCTCCATGATTATTTTGACCACTTTGACTACCTCGACCATCTCGACCACCACCTCGATCACGACCTCTATCACAATACTTATTTTGAATACGCCCGTCTCTTTTCCATTGTGGTGTTAAAACAAAACTATTTATTTATAATTAATACAAAAATATTATTTTTCGTATTGTACGTGGTATAGATGCCAGGTAGCTGTTCCTTGCAGCACGCATAGCATGTTGCAAGTATATATAGTATGTTAACAGCATGAAAATATTATACTTTTTTTTTGACGAGGAGAAAATGCCTACGCACTAACCTCCTTGCCTTTAGGGAAAGGGACGAAGGTAGTATAGGACTTGTATCCATTAAAACCTCCTCGAGTGTCCATACTTTGGGCGTTGTAGTCGGGGGAACCGGGGCTCGCGTGTAGCATTTTTCTCCCACCCTTGCCCCGCCTAAAACTTGTTTCTGGGAAGCGAGATCCTAGTCGCAGGGATCCCCTCTTCCCTATCTGAGTCGCAATCCAAGGAGAGCTCTGCTTTACCGGGGACAACACCTCCGCTTCGCTCCGTTCTACCATGGAGGGCAATAATCGTCCCGTGAGTTTCCGCTTGCAGGAAACGGCTTCCCCCCAAGTCACAGTATCGCAGATGCAACACGTCGCACCTCCCACGGGGTCACATTATTAGGGATGAAGAGGGCAACGGGAGAGGTAAAGTTCCGTCGCCCTCCCGCACGCTGAGGGATCAAGGGGGAAGAGATTGAAGTCACAAGTGACCAGTTCGCGCAGTCGGTCACTGCTCTCTCCCCCCCCCTCCCCATCCATGTCAGGATGTTCGTAACTGTGAGTTCGGCGGAGTAGGCGCCACCGGCACGACTGCCTTCTAATTGAGAGGGAGTTACACTTTCTCCCCCGTATTCGTCGGATCGTGGGGCGGATCTCCTCCGTAAGGAGAGATCCCCATGTCTGCAGCTACCAGCAGCTGCGTCACTACAGTCATCTATTTGCGGTGCCGTCTCATCCGTCCGCGCCAATAGCGCCATCCGTCGGCGCGCGACCATCGCTTGTCTCCCTGCCACGGCGGCCCTGGACTAGCGGAGGGCATCGCCTCCGGGGCATTGCCCCCTCTCCTCCCGCGGAGGAGTGGATGGTTACCATAGCAAAGGGGTCGCCTCGCTCGATTTTCTCGCGTTCGCGTTCAGCCGTTTTCCTTCCGCGACATTACCTTCTCGCTCCGCAGTATGACATGTACCATGCCATAAAGCGAAAGGTTTCCGCTTATCACTGCAACTAATTCCCGGCGCTTCTCATTCTATTGTGGATACACCTTGAGAGTGTGCTGTGCCGAGTCTTGGCCGGCCGCACAATAATGTCACTGTGCCGTGGGTTCCTTCCCTATTCGACATAGATACTCATCGAAGCATCCATGCCCAGTGAATATCATCTTGTACGACAGCTCGCCTCACGCCATGTCAGCCTACTCATGTAGACAGGGCGCGAGGGCCTCGGTCGTTCGAGTGTCATAGCCCCTGGGGTCTGTTAAGCGAAGCACCCAACGGTCGTGTACACGCAGTCTTTCCTGCAGCTTGATAGCCTCCACAGCTCGGGGAACCGGAATCACGCTTCATTCCCGCAACACTTGAATACGGGAATAACTACTGATCTGCGCGTTCGCCGCTAAGTCGGTGGGCAACACTCTTGCGAAGGCTGTGACCGCCGCATGAGAAACCGTCCGATATGCGCGAGCCAAGCGGAAGGCCATCTTCTTTTGAACGCTGAAGAACGCTCTTCTGACACGCTCTCAGCTTGTCCGCGTACACCGGGACGCCGTATAAAGGCATGACATCACGGCCCCCGTGTATATTTTCCGTACCGACACACCAGGACTACCCAAGTTGGGTATTAGGTAGGCATGCGCCATCCTGCCCAATCTGGGGGCCAGCGAAATGTACACTGAAGCCCCATCGGTCGTCTAGAGTGAGTCTGAGATACTTGATCGTATGGCTCATCTGAACGCGGATGGTCCCTATCTGTACCCAGGAGAAAAGAGGCTCCCTATTTCTCCCGTTATGGAAAAACATACACTCTGTTTTTTGGTAAGAACTCCAGAAGACACCTCCAGTCTCAAGTCCAGTATCAAACTCACGACACGGGTGGTGGCGACACGCGGCGTTGCCCCTTCTCAGGCCCCACCGTGAGTATCAGGATAACATCTGCGTAACAGACCACTTCGGCTCCCGGCGAGAGGGTAGTGCGGAGGACGGGGTCGTATGCCAGGTTCCATAATAGGGCTTCTAGAATGGACCCCTGGAGGACTTCACACGACCTCGTAATCCCTTTTTTATCCGTGTATACGAAACTCCTCTTCCGGAAATAATCCTCAACCATAGAAACTAGGTAAACAGAACATCCTTCAGATTTACGTGCGATACATGCAGAAAGCAAGTAACTTGCATGGCCCTCATAGGCTTGGGATTGGAATACGCCTTCCAATCAGCGCGTCACGGCTATGTTGAGATTTCTAGTGCGTTTGAGGGATGTAGGTCCCAACAAGCAACTCATTGGTCGGAGCGAGCGACTAACCACGCTCTACCTAGCACTCTATGCAAGCTGGTTCCCGAGCTTGTAACACAGCTCACCCGTTGGAACTAAAAGCCCCTAGCCAGTATATAGCTATCAACCACTATCCTCGCGATCCTACCCATGACTGGGCGTGGGCAACTGCCCAGTCCTCGTGGTATCAATTTCGATCATCGGTCGGATCTTCGTAGCCTATGCTACTCTCAGTTTGCGCCGTCACATGCGCGACACTGGTCGGTCAGCGTTTCAGGACGCTACTCCTCGGGATGCTTCACAGGAATCACTCGCAACCCGACCACGGGCCTAGCCCCGAGATAGGGAGCCAAGCTTTGAACTTGATCAGCTTCTTTTCGAAGGCTAATATATTGGCTTATCCATAATCCTGAGACAATCAAATAATTAAATAGTCTCTTGCTTTATTGAAACAAGCTGATTTTATGTGGGGCGCTGATAAAACTCGAACTTGGAACGGTAAGTCATGAGTTGAACGCACAAGGCGTCTAACCACCGATGCCCGAGGAAATCAGGTAAGGGGATATTTGGAAATGCTTTATCGCCTCTCTCATCCGGCCCCAGGGGAGGATGTTAAATGCGTTCTTGATGTCCACAGACACCACCACAATCACTCTTCCTTTATGTTGGCCTCTGCAAAGGCTTGCACCCGACATCGATCGTGGAGTGACCCTCGCGAAAGCCAAACTGACTCTCCATTAGATTATTACCATCTTCCCGGGAGAGATGTTGATGCGGGCCGCGACAACTTTCTCAAAAAGTTTGCCTGACTTGTCCAGTAGGCAGATGGGACGGTCGCCTGCCCCCCTTCCGCAGGAGGACGAGCCTGACACTCTTCCATGGCCAGGGAAATCTGCCGCACCTGAGACATTCGTTGAAGAGTTGCCTCAGGTGCGACTCGCCGTAGTGCCCAAGGTCCTTATCTAGGATTCCGTCTGGTCCCCGCAGCTTCTTGAAAACGAAAATCATCTCGCTCTTGGAGACTCCCAGTTCCTCCTTCCACTCGTATGTCAGGTGAGAGGGGGAATATGAGGAAATGTCTTCTCCGCTTCCCGCTGGGAATAAGTTCCTTAATGAGCTGCGGGTCCAGGGATTCAGTGGTGGGGGCACCGCCCGTGTCGACTCTTTTCTATTTATGGGGCCCTGATTGTTCGAGTGTGAATGCCGCGGCAAACAATATTGTTTTTTAAACGAGTTTGAATGTATGCGATTTACATATTAAATTTTATTCATGTATATAGCTCACTGCCGCGCGTGCTCCTCCGGGCTTTTTATATTTTTAACGATTTATCTGTGATATTCCCGAGGAGTCGTACAACTGTGATGACATATCTTCCCAGCCTGCGAACTAGGGAGATATAATCATTGTGATATGCGCAGGCTGGGGGGCTTGCCTAGCCGCTTATTGTTTGTACTACCCCAGAGGGGAAATGTCTCTCTGGGGAAATTACTTGAAAATAAAAGTGATCTTTTCTACGGGTCCCTATCCAGAGTCGGGATAAGTTCTCGTACGGACTATGCCCGCCCTTGATCGAGTACCGCAGCTCCCTCCGTGCGGCTCGTAGAGTAGCCACATGGCCCTCGACTACCTATTCCGTGTCGCTCCTTGCCTTAACCTGCAGATAGGTACACCTGGTTCGACCCAGAGGACCGCCGCAGAGTAGTAATTTCGCCGACTACCAGTAGGTAGCCCTGTGGACCGGCGGAGAGCGACAACGAGGCACTGAGGCATCGCACAC